GGAAATATGGTTAACATTGACTAATAGAATATTGTTAAGACTTTTATAATTGATTTGATATATTTACTAAAATATTATCACAAGTTTTTTTTTTATTTATTTTTTATTTTTTATTTTATTCAAATATTTTATTTTCCCAAGTAGACAATCACTCGCTCTGTATGTGTGCGGTGATGATAAGTGACAAGCAAATGTGAAAAGAAAATCTGGGATTTTGCGAAACCAATCTGGGAGGACTATGTGGAATTGGTAGATGTTACGCCTTTACTTGTCGAGGGTCCACATTAGTTGTAATTAATTAATTAATTATCCGCATGGATGTCCGAGTAGTTAAGAATTGCGGCTAAGAAATGTCTGTAAATTCAAATCTCAAGTGGGGTCGAGTTTTCTTTGACGGTGGCTATAGCGCGGTATCAGTCGGTAAAGCCGTAAAGGCGTAGTGCTACCTCTCTATTTTTTTTTTTCTTTATTTTCTTTCTGAACGTCACCGTCACGAATAGCCGAGCCTTCCCTCCCCTCCTCTCAGTGAAAGACGTCAAAAGAAAAGAAGAGCTACGTTTGGAATTAAATATTCCATGTTACATCCTTATATAAGCAAGGTGTGCTTTGGATGATTTGCAGGGAAATTTGTTTTTAAATTTTCGAGTTTTTTTTCATTAACGCTTGCGACATGTGTGGAAAAATGTTCTAATCCAGAAAAACTTTTCTCCTTTCCAAAAAGTTGTTTCTTTCTTTTATTATATAAAAACTATAAGAACTTGAAAAAATCTGACACTTGTTCTAGACTTATAAATACGACGAGAATTTTTCCGGCGCCCATTACTACGAAAACAAAAATGTCAGAGAAAAAAGTCAAAACTTTTTAGAAGATTTGTCTGCAAGGAAAGCAGAGCTATTTTGCGAAACTTTTCACAATGTGGCAACAGGGTAAAGCAGAAAAGAAGAGGAAAGTTTTATAAGATATGCTCTTTAAGATGTCATGCGAATTCCACTTGACATGTTCGCGACCACAAATGCTACAGCATTAGAATGTTGAAGATAATTTTTATACCCATCACCGAAGGAAGAAAAAAACCTTTAGGTGGATTTTTATTCAGGATAATTTATTTCAATTTTTCCTCTATTTGCATAAATACAAGTGAATAAACAATTTCTCTTTTTATATCCATGCCACTGCAGGATGGAAGAGCATGCTTATTTGATCAAAACGTTCGCAATTTTCTGGGGCACCTTCAGAGACTTAATTACGTGTATGTGTTATTGATGAGCACTAAATTTGGAATCGATTTAAGGATGCTCGTCTGTCTATTTGTGTAATTTCGATTGTAAACATTCTCCTGGCCGTAAAACTGAATCTATCGACTTGAAAATACCGAATTCGTAAGGCACTTAAGCATGTCTGTCCGTCTGCCCAACTATATAATATCTGTGGTAAACACTCTCGCGTTCGTAAAGAAGTAGATATCACCTACAAATTTGTAAAAGAGTTTGAAAATGGCGCAAACAGGTCGAAGAATGCGCCTAAAACGCCGACACGTCTATACAACGAAGTCAGAGAATACTTTTGCTCGTTACTCATAACATACAACGGGATACACGACATCAATTTCTACGAAATTGTTCCACAAAAATGAAAGAATATTTGTCACGCCCACCTAACATTGCAGAGGATGCAAATTTATATTCTTACTTTTTTCCGTCTTTTATAGGATAAGGATGATGACGCATAAAAGATTCGATAGCAACTGAGTATTAATTTTCTTACTTGTTTTTTTTTATTATCTTGGAACTTTTATTGTACTTTTCGAAGGACGGGCTGACTTAACTGATTTTTTAGATTTTTCCATATTACCTTAATTTTTCTCCGCCTATTTGCACATTCACTTAAAAGCATCTTGAATTTCCTATATTTCTGTAAACTAGAAAGAGAGCACAAAGTCTCCCATTGCTCTCCTTTTCTCATGTTTTCTCTTATATAAACAGCATATAGTATTTATTTCAGCTGAAAAGTGTATTGAAAAATTTCGTATTTGCCAAATTTAATTGATTTTTAAAAGTAAATCTTGTGCTAATTATTATTAGTAACTCCCATAAATTACATAAAAAAAAGATGGCGAAAAAATAAGAAAAATAAAATTCATGCATAAATAAACAAGAGAAAAAGAAAAAAAAAGAGGCAACACTCGCAACCGGTACAGATTCAAGTTATGAGTGAACCCCCTAAGCATGCCAAAAGCTTAACAAACGATAATAATAGTAAATCGAATCACGATAGGATCTTAAGATTACAAGTTAAATTAAACACCGCACGGGCGGATTGCCGATTGTATGTCGACTGCGAGTCGATTTGATACAATTTCAAGAATCCAAAATTCAGATTGAATTTTAGATATGATTTAGGTTTTTGCAAAGGATTCGAAAAGCCTTTAAATATATCTACATTGGCCGAGTTTTATGAAAATAAAACTCTTAGAGAAACGGTTCGTTCGAAAGTTGAAGTTTTTCGCGTCAAGCAATGTCGGCAAATCGATCGTCTATTTACTTAATTGTTTTTATTATTTATTTAGTTACCATTTATTAACTTAATTAGGAAAGAGTCACGAAGAATATATCTACGTTTCTCAAGCGAAGTTAAAGCTAACAAAAATAAGCCATTTTTGTAAGGCGACAAAAAGACAAGCAGATCCCAACCCAAAACACATTGCTTTGAGTACTACATAGAACCTATTGAAAGCAGACCACACGGCAGAGGCGTATCCGAGTATTGGCCCGACTCATATATAGCTTACGTTAGCTCAAAGCTAGCCTTGCCGCCCTTGCTCTTTGTAAACAGAGCTCAATGTGCAGATTAAAAGGTTCAACTAGAATCCTTAAATCAATGAACGAATCTATGTAAAGGTTTTAGCATTCATCGTATATAACTTTTAAAATACGATGTGCTCATTACCCTTGGCGAATATATTTATTTTGATTTCGTATAACACAACTAGCGAGTCAGTGGTCATGGGTTCGAATATCAAGTGCGATAGAGTTTTCCAAAAAGCCGATAGTCTTAGATGCTAATGCTTGTGATTTAGAATTTATTTCTCTGACTGAATTAGTTATAATAATAATAATAATAATAATAATAATACAATACCATACATAACTTCGCTTAATACAGTTATTCAGTGCCTGCAAAAATGCTCTGATCCGAATCATTTTCCACAGCATTTGTCAATGGCTCAAAGTACAGCAGTGTACCAAATTTCATTAAAATATGTCGAAAAGTGTAGACACGTTGAAGACAAGAAATAAGTGGGACCGGCGGACGGACAAACTCGCCAGTATACCAAATTTCACCAAAATATATAAGAAATTGCGAGCTATAGGTTGAGTATAAATTTACATTGACGGGCGGACAGACAAGACCTAGATTGATTTAGAAAATGATTCTATATAATACAAAAAAAAAAAAAATGGACTCTGTATAATAAAAAGTGAATCAGTCTAAGTGTACTTTTTGAATATCTTTTTCATAGTTTATTTATTTATTTTTTTTTTCTTTAATTTCTTGTAAAGGCTTACTTTAGAACTGAACGTGCTTCAATTAACGATTTCCGTTCTAAGTGCATTTAAAATGTCTTAACTTGATTATTAATATCAAATGACCCAAGGCTTACAGTAAATTATAAAAATAAATGTCGTAATATAATTTTTAAAGGAAATATTTGCAAATATATAGGAAATTAAGTAAAATATATTGAGTAAAAAAAAAAAAGAAAAAATTTACATAAATTACAGAAAAATCATTATTAATAATAAATATCGACAAACATTGTTTAGCAGCCGGGAAGAGGAAACAAACAAACAAAGAAGGCAAAGGAAAAAATTATAATAAAAAGCAATCCCAAGCTAGTTAGGTATTTCCGTTGGGTATTCGAAATGAATAAAATAAGGAAAAAAAAAAAAAAAAAAATTCATTTCTAACACCTTAACGCCTCAAGTCGACAATAAATGAAATGCTTGGTAAAAAGCTTTATTTAATTTTTTTTTTTTTCTTATTGCCACACAACAAATTGGATTAAATGCTAATAACATAGACGTTGTTTGCAAAATTTTCTTTTTTCTGATTTGCAAATGATCAATTTTTGGATTTTTTATTATTATGGGCAAAACGGGAGAATTAGAAAAACAAGAAGAAGAAGAAGAAGAAGCAAAGAAACATGAAAGTAAGAAATATCAGAAGTAAAGAGACTTTATAATGAGCTGATAAACATATATATGGTGCGATAATGGTTTTCGACTGCCTAGTGAGCCTTATATGCGTCGTGTATGAAATGAGATTTGTGGGTAACGGAAGACTTTGGCTGTTGTCATTATTTCAATTTCATACCAGTGATGGCCATAAATAAGTAACGACACATTTATGGGTTTTCAGTTTGTTGTCATAATTTGTTTCTTTTTTTTTTTTTTTTTTTTTTTCTTTCGTTTTGCGCCAAAAATAAAAATATAAAAAATTTAAAAAATTTAAAAAAAAAAAAAATTAAAATAAAAATTAAAATAAAAATAAAAACGTACAACGGCCAGCGAAAGGTGGTAAAACGTGATTATTTTATAATTAAATGCTTGAGTGGCACTAAAGCAACCAAAAGACTTATAAATATTTGCAGCGAACGGTTGATTATTAAATACAATCAAATAAAAAGAAAACATTACGTTACATACATATATTTGCAAACATATAATTATGTAATAGGTTTAATTTGCAAGTCAAAAAAAAAAAAAAAAAAAAAAATTATACAAAAAGCACATAAAATGGAGAAAATCTTACTGTAATAAAAATCAATCATTGTACAAGTCAAGTGAATGGAAAAATTATTAAAACAAAAAAAAAAAAAAACACCAGTTGCTTGAAATCATTTATTTATCTCTTTAAGCTTCAATTTATTTTAGAGGCGATGAAATTGACGGTTTAACGATAATAAAATAATGAAAAAGCATTTCAAGAGCTCGCTTACCCGACCAAGCTTTGTGTGGTACGTGTTAACAGGAAAACACTGCCAATTATACCGATAACCGCTGTTATGCCAGCCACCAAGTTGACGCAACGTACCGGCGCAAAATCAAAAAAATGCACTTGATTACCCATTAATGATAATTTTGTGATGAATTCCTTTAACGTTTAAAAGGATTTTTTTTTTCTTCTTTTTTTTTTTTTTTCTTTAGAAAATAACGTTACTCAGGCCACGTTCTCACTTTAATATCAACTAAATATTTTTTGCATTTCATTTATTTTTAAGTTATCTTTTAATCTTTTTATATATTATTCTTGTTGTTGATGTTGTTGCTCTTGTTATTCTTATTTCATGAGCACTGTGAAGTGTATTGTGTAAGATATTATTCACAAATTGTTGTTGCATGGGAGTTTACATATACACGCACACACATGCGCCTAGATGTGAGTTTATCTGATAATTATCGCGAATGCTCTTCTGCTTTTTTTTCCCCCCTTTTATTTTAATAAATAATTCACATGGTTTTCATACATATATACATGTGAAAAGATGCGCTTGTATATAAGCTTATTGTTGTTGTTGCTGTTGTTGCTTCATTTGTTTGTCAATTTTAATATTCAACAAATAAGCTTAACATTACAAGTAAGTAAATAAATTGAGCAAAAATTTACTTTAAAGTAAAATAATCTTAATTACCTTTCCCTCGCGTCCAAGAGAGATATTAACTAAAAATCAATTTCATGTTCAATCAAACTAATTGTTAATAAGCTATCAGGCGATTTCTGGTAACGTTTGAGTGAAATTAAATTTATACATAAAATAAATAAGAAAGTTGCACTCGTCTTAAAATAAATATAGAACAGCGATCACCTTTCCAAAGGTATATATATACATATGTATATATAATATATATACAATAAATGTAAAGCTTTCTTTTCTTTGTAAGGCGCTTCCTTATGCTTCTTATAATAGATTGTTTTCTCTATGGCAATGGGCTATAAATATTTATTGCCAATATTTGAAAATGCTTTATCTAATAAACTCAATTCCTGACTGTAGGCTAAGTAGATACCCACACATCAAGCTTGCGAAGCTTAGTTTTGTTAGACATGAACCAACAAACCAAACAAACAAAGGCAAATGGACATCTTACGCTAAATCGGTGCGCCGCACATATAACTTGCACGTATTTTTGAATATGCACTGACACTAGAACAGCTATTCCAGTATTTCCCCACCATTCGATTCTGGAAAGAAACTTTTTTATATCCATCACTGTAGGAGGAGGTATATATGCATTTTTCTGCGAAACGGAGGAAAGAACTAAAAGGAAACTTCAGACTACATATCCTTAATTAACATCAAATTTCATATCGGTTTGGATGAAGAGGGTCCAACCACCCGCCCGTCCGTGTATTGTAGCTTGCGTAGTGTCTCTTGTAAATATCCTCGATCGAATTATAAACCCACTTGAGAACGTCCGTCTATCCGTCTGTCCGCCTCTCCGTTTGTCTGTGTGTAGCTCTGCTTGTCTGTGTGTGTAATGTTTGTGGTAAATATTCTGTTAATAGTAAAAATGCACCAATAGGCTTTAAACTTGGCACAAAGACTGGAAGACTGGAAAGCTACGTTGTAAGCCTCAAATTCGGCCGCCATCGCGTAGAAGTGGAAACGGTCCCGATCTGTAGCAAGAATTGTTTCAAATTGTTACCACATTTACTCTTATTCTTGCCACTAAAACTGTTAAATTTCGTTAGATGCGTCTATTCGTTCCTTTGTCTACCCCTTGATAAAACATGACTGTAAAACTTAGACTTATTGATACCACACTATGGCGTACACTGCATTTGATTGTTGTATTTCAGCCACAAACGGTGGAGTGGCGGACCAAGCATTAAAAAAATATATGAGAGCTCTCTCTCTCTCTCTCAAATTATTTTTTCTGCCTGTAAACTCTACGCACATTAGGGCGTAACGCTAGTGTAAATTTTTCGGAAAACATGTACTTTTCAATGCACTCAATAGATGCTTTGAATCTCGTCGAAGAGGTGGAAAGAATTCATTGCCTTAAAGAAATTATTTCCGTAAAATTTAGCCCATTTTTTTCCGAACGGCTCAAAAACTAGTTGCCTGAGTCAAGTAATATATTATACCACCATAGCCTATCGGCTAGTATCTAAAAGTTATGTACGGCTATTTCTAAATAAAAATATGTTTCATCAATGTTTCAAGCGGTTATGAGGCTGAGAGCTTTGACTGGTTTTATCAACTTCCATAGGAAGTGTTGATTAAATATTCGGCGATACGAAATTACAAGTTTTTTTTTTTTTTCAAAAAGGGACAATAATTTTTATACCCTCCACTGTAAGATAGTCATTTTGTTTTTTTTTTTTAAATATATGTAACAAGCGAACGGAAGCTTCAGAGATTCTATAAAGTAAATACATTCCTGTTCAACGTGAAATTTTGTGCCGATTTAGCCATGTTCGTCCGTCTGAGTACCTGTGTGGTGTGTGTTGTTGGCACTCTCTTGGTCGCCAAAATGAAGATATTGACTTCAAAATCAGTAGAAACATTTAGAATTTCTGCACACAGGTTGGTATTGAAAATGGGCTAAACTTTTTGGAGCAAAAGCGCGCAATAGAGCGTAAATTGAGCGCAACTCTGTTTTCTTTAACAAAAACTTTTGGATTTTTACTTGTTACACGGAAATTATTAAAGTTAGAATGCTTAAATTTTAAGTCCGAAAATGGAACCAATCGACCATGCCCACACAAAGTTACGAGTAACTAAGTATAATTTTTTCTTCCATTTTTTGAAGTTTTATGCTTCTTTCTAACAAGGTAAACAAGATAGCATTTTTTTTACGCTCTTTCCTCAAAGGGCGATATATTACTTATCTAAAAGTGGGTTAATTCTAGAATGACACCCCGATTAATTTTTTCGTAATAGCACCAACAATATGGATATCAAATAAAAGAACTTGGAGAGTGGAATGCGAAAAGCATAGGGGCGGGCTCCGGCCGAACATAACTGTCTTGCTTGTTTCGCTAGTTATTAAAATATCCTTTCAAGCTATTAGGCACCTAACCATGGTTGCATTTGCGGGAAAGTTTCCATTTACCGTCCGCCATTTTCATTCACATATGCATTTCTTGTTTTTTAATACTTAACTATGAGAGACCTGCATCTTAATTTGACTTGGGCTTATGGAAAGGTAATAGATTTCCGCGTTTATTATGCGCATATGTAATTTTCCTTAACCACGCTAGAAAATAATTTAAAAAAACATTATTCTTTTTTTATTATCTTTCAAAACTTTTTTTATGAAAAGTTTTACTTCCCATAAAAAATTAACTATAATTTATTTAAACTTTAACCTTTCACTTTCGTTATGACTTTGAAGAAGTTTCGAACTCTTGCAGGAAAATATTTCCGGACAAAAACAAAAACGAAAAACAAACGATCCAAAAAAAAAAAAAACAAAGACTCATAAAAAGTCAAACGCCTGCTGATTGATTACTTAATAAATTAATGGCTTTTAAATAATAATAATTTTCAAAATCGATAAAAACTTCAGATGTTTATAAATACTTGTGTTGTATAGCATTATAAATATACATCTGGTGTGTATGTTGCGTGCAGAAAAGAAAGAGAAGAAACTATATTTGTACACATTGTTTAAACGGTGTGTGATACGATTTTTTTTCTATGATTTCTTAAGAGAATTGAGGAAAAGCAACCATTCACTCAGGGGATATTCTCCCCGTGATGATGGTTAGAATGAAGTGGGGGGGGAGGAAAAGAGTTAGGAAGTGACTGCAGTCTAGTGAAGTGTATTTAATGCGATTAAGTTTCAATTTTAACATCATTCAAAGGGCAGTGAGCTTTGCTCTTACAGAAAGGATTTCAATTAATTTTTGATGCATGAATGGAATTTGATTTGCAACAGGATTTGATGTGAACTGAAGATTTCAAATAACTCCACAAGACGAAATTACAAAGCCTTGTCGGACACAAGGGAGAACGACTTTGATAAATAAAATATATATTATGTGGTAGTTGGTACCGATTCGCCCGTGCTTCCGTATAGATCTGCGTATATCCAAAACCGACTAAGTGAAGTCCCAATATTAGCTACGAGCAGGGAGCTTCAACATTTTCTTTCCATTTTGAAAAGTAAAAGCTGACAAATGCTCAAGAGCTCGATTCAATTGATTTCTCATAAGTCAATGCTTTTGAATATTGTTCGTCTAGCCCTTAGAAATAATAGATCGACTAGGATGAAATTTGTAGATAATAAATGCTTAGATGAAATAAAGTGTTATATGATATGCATATATCTTTGATGAACCAATGGTTATTGGAGATGATCTGACGATAAACCTTCTTCTCTGCATTTTAAGCCAAATTTCTATAGGAGATTTCGAAGTTGGTTTTAACCATTGTTTCAGAGGATTCCCGTTGCACATGTGGTCAGCGAGGCGTATAGCTAGCGGACTGGAGAAGGAGCGTAAAGTTTGTGTACGTTCGACTTCATAGTCCAAACATAAGGAACAGGAAGAAAGATATTTACAAGTATACAACCTTAAGGACGTGCAGCACAGAGTATGTCCAGACGGACTGGCTGGGAATTCTAAGAAAGGCAGTGGTTTCTTCTTACAGGTCTAACATAAGCGGACAAATCTCTTTTATCATTTTAGGACACTTGCACTTGCCTTTAATATATGTAAGTTGACGCATTAACGAATGTTGTCATTAAAAAAGATTGACACTAGTCGCGGGATTGTTGCAACAAGCCGAAAACAACACTATGAAGCGTTGGCATCTCTATCAGCTGATACGTTTTCGTAAATAGAAAAGACGAGAACAAACGACATTTGTAAAGTTGGCAAAATTAAAGTTTGCTCGGAAAGAAGGCACACGTTTCTGATTAAAAAAGGATGAACTCTATATAATACCATAACCGTTTCTCATCAGAATATTATTGTAGGTTCCTGCACTAGTTTTGAGAAGCGACTTTTACAAGTAAAAATGATAAACAAAAAAATGTGAAACGTGTACACTACGACTGAACTCGACGGTTTTGACCTTTCTTCATCTAAAATAACAGTTTTGAGTTTAGTATTATTGAGATAATTAATGTATACAGACACTTATCATTTTCGACATTCAATAGTTTTGTTGTTTGATTTGAAGAAATCTGATCCCACTGAAGGCCATTAAACACTTTTAGAAGTTTATGGTGCTGTGAAAATGCCACTTTTTGGCCACTGCTTGCAAGAGTTGTCAAGGATAGTCTATTACGGCTCGAATGGGAAGTTCTGTCAAACCCAGCGTACTCACCAGACATGGCGCCCCCTGACTACCATTTGTCAGATCGATGCAGCATGGTTTGGCTGACAGGCGGCTCTGCAAAGAAGCGCGAATTTGGGTCGATGCCAAACCAATGTAAGCTCCATCGACACCATATCGCCATGTTGCCAGAAATAATATTTTTTCAAGTGAAAAAATTCTCAAAATTAACGCAAGCATCTAATAATTGAATCTAATACGAAGAGAATGATTGAAAGGAGTAGTGAGTTGTGCTT